TTACTATGATGCAGATCATCCAAATTTTACTATGTTTTACAACCTCCTATAGATCGGCGGGAAATGTCCTGTGACTGATAATAATAATAATAATAGATCAAATATACGTAATTTCAGTTAATTTGATACGTTTTTTTATGATATGGAAAATTGCGAATTTCCGTATTGGTATATTTTACAATTTTTTCTCCGTATCTTTTATAATAATCATTTCTCATAGCAATAAAAATTGTAATTCATATGGAATTTCCGTATGCAAATTTTCTATAGGGCACCATCAACATTTGCGGCACTAGTCCTTAATTGAAAAATGTTATGTAGAAGGCATTATAATGAATTAATTGTTAATGTTAAAAAAATCAAAATAACTAACACTTGTTCACAATATTTATCTTTCTACATCACGAAAAGAAGAAGGAAATGCATTCAAGAAGGCACCTGGATGCTTAGCCAATTATTTTAAATTATCATAGACAGCAGTAATGTGCCATCATTGCTTATATAAATTTGATAATGATCCAGAATATTTGGGTTTGCCTGATTACCAATTGTCAGCTCAAAAAAACATCAAATAAAAATATTCAGAAATGTCAAAATAGAACATATGCTTTGCATGATGATATTTTTTATTCTGAAATAGAATTTCAACAATTAGAATCTGTATATCATGAAGTGTGTGCAAAACTTGACAAAGCAAAACTAGGCGAGTAGCTAATTTTTATTGTCAATAATTTATATTTAACTATTTTATTTGCTGGCTATTTGATTTATTTCAGTCTCCTATGCACAATTCTAAAAAATATTGGACAAAAATAAACATAATCATTATAATTGAAAGCATGGCTCATTTTTTGTTGTATACTATAAAGAGAAACCCAAAGTCCTTTTGCAAAGCAAAATTAATTATTCCGTATCTTTTAGTCTCATACTATAAATGATTTGTTAATAACTATACTTTACAAGAAGAATTAAATATGCATGAGCCTTTAATATAGGTGGGGATTTTGACTGCACAGAAAGAGTTTTTGAAATATAAAGCACTGATGTGTATCCTTTGATCGACACATAAACCAGTTGTTGTTATAAGTTGAAATTACACCAAACTGGCACTCATTTTCTACCATGTAAGAGTAGATTTGCTTAATCGCATCCTTTATGTACTGGTCCTGATAGTACAACTCTGAAAGCGTTAGTTTATGATTTTCGCCATTGTCATTACAATCATCAATTTCTTTGTTGTTATTATCATCAGAGATGAGTCCCAAAATGTGTCTTCTCTTGACTTCAATTGGAAATATTAATGTACAACTCTTTCCTGTTTTGTGATTATAATTTGGTGACAATTGAAATCAGGAATGCCGGGAGTTTTAGTATTCCGCCTTGTGTACTCATAATCTGGCCCCATAAGATTGCTTAATGTCTCACAAATATTATACAAAAAAGACTGTGAACATCCTCTTCAATATTTGCCCAATTATGTTCTGCAAACTTTGGCTTTTTAAATTTCCATTGGTCGTCAAAGTGATAATTGTTTACGTCATTGAGAAAACCCTCCCAAAGACATACTTTTATTGGTTCATGGTCCAACTTTGTACTAGTTTTTGATTCGGAAGCATCAGGGAGATATTTGATAGGTGGCGGAATATGTGATAAAGCCTTTTCCAGGGTAAGAAGTAAAGACTAGTGCTGTAAATTATGATGATGGTATTTACGGCATATAAAAAGTGGTCACAATTACCTTTGCGACCACTTTTGCAACCATACTTTTTCCTTTTTTGGATTACGGCACTAGTCTTTAGTGAGAAGTTCTGAAAAATAAAAGTGTATAATTGAATAAACAAATACTATAAAAGCTACTGTTCCAAAGATATTTGTTGAATAATATGTAAGAAGCTGAATCTTATTTACCTGGTAACTGCACAGATTTTCCCTTTTCTGATAATATTGATAAGGCATCCATTTCTGTAGATGTTCTATTCTGCTTTTTTTATGTTGACACAAGATTTGTCACATCATTTAAAGTTTTACGTTTCTTGTTCCTATTATCCCATATTCCCTTGACTTTATAGATGTCGTCCTTTATTAAATAAAAAATTCGTGAGAAACATTTCCCAGTAAGCATAATCAGGAAAAATTAAGATTAAGATGGATAGATGCAAGAATACATCAACAATCCAAGTTCTCTGTTATGTTATAAAGGAAGGTATATAATCAATTCCTTCTCCAGAATTAGTAGACCTTTACCAAGGAAACTTATATTGGTATATTCCATTAAGTCCACTAGGACACACCCAGTAAACGCATCTGATTCAGCACTTGTGGAGGATAAGCCTTTACCCCTATTAGGACACACCCAATAGGGCACAGGAACCTAGCCAAAAGCCCCATCTGTCCAAATATATACCTTATTATACTTACTTTTTTTCTTTTTATAAGTTTCTGAAGATTTCTTTCGATACATATAAATCATTGTTAATAATGTTTAGAATATAAAAAATTTATCATGAGCTCTATCTTTTTCAGCACACTTGTAATTATCCATAATTAAAGTAATTGTGAGTAGGCTCTGAGCTGTGTGAGGATACAGAGGCCTGGTGTAAAGTATTGAGAACCCTGAGCTGTGTGCGGATACAGGGAGATTTATATATTGGACTTTTATATTTTATATTTTATTTTATATATTTATTGGTCATAATGTTGAAGCGTCCATTTTTCATAGAGAAAGAATTCGAAGTATTTAATATAAGGGATGTCCTCAGATGCAGACAAGTTTCCTTGGATGAGGTTTACAACATGATTTATTGGTGGTTATGTATTTGAATCAGAAGGGAAACGTGTTAATTATAAAATCGCGTAAACAAAATTAACTAATAAAATTATTGTGATCGGCATGCACAATTTAATCCACAAATCACTTGAATAATAAAAAAATTAAAAATAGATGAAGCTTTTATTCTGACATATTTTTTGCCGAGTAAATAAGAATTTTAACGTGAATTTGGACTATGTCAGGTTTTATAATAATAATAAATAATGTATACAAGTTCAATCTTTGGACTTAATTTTTTTTTTTTACATAATAATAATCACATTAGAATTCATGGTAATACAAATGTTGATTTTGTCTGGTTTTGTTGCAGTATGCCCCATATATGAATAATTGACAACTTTATATAATACATTTAATTTATAATAATTATTTATAGTTCCAGAGTGAATGCTTGCTAATTTTTTTTTATGATTGGCAATTGTTTTATAGTTTGCACATATTCCAGCATTTGATAAAGTATTTATTGCAATAGAACTAGTACCAGATGATACAAGATATAAACCAATATCAAGTTTAATAGAATTAGCAAATTTATTTCTAAGGCCAGCTAATAAATAACAAAATCCAACAATTGATTTTTTTGCTTCTTCTTGGTTGGTTGTAGAACATCTTTCAGGGACCAATGCATTTGTTAATTCTTCAAAAAAGCCTTCAAGTAATGGATCTTGTTCTGTTAGCAATTTTGAAAATTATCTGGATTTAATTCCATTGTTTCATTTTCTTGTTTTTGTTTATCTTATGAGCATGCAATCTGAGTTTCCTAATTGATAGGTTATTTAATGCTCAACACACAGCCTACCTGATGATTTATGGTCAAGTTAAATAAAAATTGACTTTTATCTTCCTGGATAAAATAGTCCCTAGGTTCTATGTAAATAGTTATATCCCAAAGGTGTCCCTTTGAGATGTGTTTCAATAATTAAGGTTGTAGTTTCTTGCTGAGTTCAGCAAAGGTTTCCCTTTTACAGGTGATTAGTTTAAATTAAAGATTAATATTTTTAGAGTAAAATATGTTATGTGTTTTATTAGCGATGACAATAGTAATAGTATTATTACAGTAGTGTTAATTATTAGATCAATAATTAAAAGATTATTATGAACCTAATGATTCTGACTTGGTCTAAAACCAAGTCTTTTTATACCTCTTGGGGTATTACAAATAACATTACTTTTACTCTATTTTGTCCAATAAAATATGCTTATTAATGCTAACCAAATATTTGGATCAACTGAGCATTACAAAAGGATAATTAATAATTCAAAATAAATATTTGCATCAGCTGAATAAGTTCTTGAAATATAAATATAGAAATATGAACATGAATAATTGTTCGTGTGATACTCTGTAGTAGTTTCACAAAATATAAAAATAAAAAATAGAAATGATGTGGTGACGGTCACGTGACCCATAGTAATTCGGTTTGGTTGGATCGGCAAAGTGGGGACCTCTCTATCGGTCCTTATTTTACTATCTCACAATATATAACTTTGGTTAATCGTTGAATTTGCATAAGGAATGACCTGTCAACTTTATTTGATAAATTGTAATTAGTAATGAGTTTTCTTGAAGTTGATAAATTTTATATTTTGGATACAATTACCTTCTTCAATTTCAGGCTCATCTTCAATTAATGTTATTTCATTCTGTTGTTCAATTTGTTTTTGCATTTGATAAATTTTGTTTATTAATGAATAAAATCATCATTAGACATAGTTATAGAGTCATCAGTAATATTAACATAAATATCATTCAATGAAACATCAATCAATATAGTATTTTGATTGTTTAAATTGTCTAATAAATTCTTAATGGTAAAAATATTATTTTGTTCATTGATATTTTTGTTTACAAAAGCAATGCATTTTTTCCCTTAGCAGGCTCACATACTTGCAAATAATGAGGAGAACATAACTGTGATTCATTAACTATCAAATAATCAAAATTAGAAAAAGTTCCAGAATTAATTGATTTTGTATAAACAGTTTTATTAAAGTTTCTGTAAGGGCCTGAATTTTCACAACTAGTAACTAAGCAAGGACCTTGATTAGGATTGCGAGGCATCTTTAAAAAAATAAATTGTTTAGTTTATTATATAATTATAAGTTAAATTATTTTACAATTAAAATTATTTTGTATTTTTCCGTATATATAATAAAAGATTGTATTAGTATAATGATAATGATAAATATGACGCATTAAATAAATACGTGTGTAAATCGTGTAACGTGATAATTTCGAATGTCGATCAAAAACAAAATTCCACTATGCTTCCCTAATACTAAGCTTTACACTGGATGAATGTCAATCCGGATCTGCAGAAGAAATTTTTTAATACAATTTAATTTGGAATGTTTAAACAATATTATAAATATTCTAAAGGACAGCTTGATGAATCAAGATCAGTTAGAATAATATTTTATACAATAAATACAATGAAATTTGTCTCTTCAACAATTACTGTAAGTGCTTATTCGCACCAACGTATTATTAAAATTTGCAAATCTCAAACAAAGTCACAATTATTAGTAACTATTAATATGATTCAATTTAAAGTATCAAAGCTAGGATCAATGTTACGTTTACTTGCATTACAAATATATATTAGAATTAGATTCTCGACAAATTAATTAGATATAGAAATAGTCTGCCAGATTAATCTTATGACTCGATAAAGATAAATAGGTATTATTTTTGCTGGGGCTATTGGATCAGGGGGAAAACTAAGCTAAATTAGAACTTTTCTTTTTCAAAAAAAAAAGAAGAGATTGTGTTACGAATAATTAATTATTTCTTTTTCTTTTTTTTCCTTTTTGTCTTAATATCATTATTACCTTTCATACCTTCAATAAATAAAATTTATCAAAGTATTTTCTTGCCTTCTTCATTTGAATCTACTTAAAGATGACAGGTAAGTAATCACTAAAATATTCATAAACATGCATTCATTTTTATTCATATTCATTAGTTACATATTGGTTCGAAAAATGATTTCTATATATTCTTTGACAATTTTTAAACCTTCTCATTCAAATACATCAACTTAAAAAAACCATTTCATGTCATATAATGTTATTGATGCCATTTAAGACTTCATTGTATTCTTGTAACATTACTCTTAAATTTTTATTTATGTCGAATCCTTTATCATTTTATGTTCACGTTTTCACCTTTGGTGACTTTAATTCTTCCTTAAATCTATATACCATAAAAATAAATCCTTATTTTTTGAATAGTCGATTGATTACTCTTTTTAATTCCCTTATTATTTCTTCTATTCACATTGTTTTATAAGTTTTATGTTAATATGCAGCGATCATCTTTTCACTATCTAGAGAGAAACAATCACAAGTTTATAGATTTATGATTCTTCGTGTTTTTTTTTATTCTGCTTCTTTCTTTACTCATATTTTGTTCATAAATTTAATTTTACACGTTATTCATATTTCTTTTACTTATATCTTGATATATAATGTAGCATTATTTATTATCAAAAAACCCAACTTTCTAGGATTGGTTCTCTCTCATTTTTCTTACGATAATTAATTAATTGTTCATTAATTATTCATGTGTTATTACTTTATTATACATGCATTATTATTTATTAATAGGTTCAGAATTTATGAATGTTGACACTGAACTCCATAGTTTCAGAAGACTCAGCCGAGTGACGTCCAAAGGACAGAATATTAATTATAAAGTATAATTAATTACTCTAATGACTCTTTCCTCATTTACTCTTACTAATTGTTTAATTTATATTTATATCACTTACCAATTCTATTATTATTATTATTGACTCTTTCGTTAGATTTCTTCCTCTTCTTCTTCGTCCGAAGAAGATGGTAGACCAAAAAATCCAGGATCTTCTGAAAAAAGATTGAAGTCTGAAAAATCAAGAGATGGTAAAATACAAGGTATTAATTGTATGGTTGGTTAGAATCACGACAAAAATTATTTAGTTTTGCTTAATTCAATTACAATTCCTTCGACCATTATCTTCCTAAATCTTCTGTCTTTTATTTATAATAGATTATTGGGGTAGTTCTAGTTCATCATCACAAACCAGTAAAAATACTTCTTCGCAACCTGAACTATCAGACGATCAAGGGCGACATTCTTCTTCAAAAGTCGCATCATCTAAAAAAAGTAAATATTTCATTAATCCAAATGATTGCATAATTAAGGACAGATATTCCAAAAGAACTAGAACTATAAAAAACTACAATGAGGATGAGTTAGATAAACAGCTTGGCCTTGAAGCGGATTATAACGACGAAGAGGGTGATGATTCTCAATTTTATGAAAACCCACAACCGGAAGAAGGTAAAAGAACAATCACATTATTCAAATCAATACTCTCTTACTAAAAAAAGTATTACTTATCAACTAATCTTACTATTTCTCTCTTTGTTTCATCCGCATCGTTATAGAGGAGCATAATATTGAGAGTGTACATGACATTAAAAGAATAGAAGGAGGGGATGGTAAGTTGTTTAACATTGTTAATACAAATAAATAATAAGTTGAATTCATTATAAGTTCTGAACTTTGTCATATGGATTCTGATGATAATATAGGTTCCAAGAATTCAGATGACCCTAAAACAAACATGGTATTTCTAATAAAATGGAAAGGATGGAGCCATCTGCATAATACTTGGGAAACTTTTGAAAACTGCCATGGTTTAAAAGGCTTCAAAAAATTGGAAAACTATGTCAAAAATTATTTGTCCGAACAATATTTGTTGAATGAAAGTCCTGAAGACAAGGAAAATATTGATGTTAATGTGGAAATGTCTAGAGAAATGTTAAAGGATTACAAGACAGTCGAAAGAATTATATCTAAAAGAATTGCACCTCGTATTGAAGATAACCGTCCTGGAGTTGAATATTTATGCAAATTCAAACGTTTGCCATATCAGGATTGTACTTGGGAACCAGTTAACCTCATTCAAAACGAATTTCGATCTGAAATTGTCGCATATAATCATCGTAATGTCAACCAACGTATCCCTCATAAAAGCAGCCTTTTGTCAAAACATAGGCCAAACTTTAAACCAATGACACAACAACCTTCTTACTTGAGTGGTGGCGAATTAAGAGATTTTCAACTTACTGGTCTAAACTGGCTTGCTCATTTATGGGCTCGTAATGAAAATGGTATTCTGGCTGATGAAATGGGTTTAGGGAAAACAGTCCAAGCAATCTCCTTCTTATCTTATCTGTATCATTCTTTGCATCAGTATGGTCCTTATTTGATAGTGGTTCCACTATCAACAATTGGCTCTTGGCAAAATGAATTTCAAATTTGGGCACCTGATCTTAATGTCATCTATTATACTGGACCTTCTCAAAGTCGTGAAGTAATAAGAGAACATGAATTTTTTGTTCCATATTCATCATCAAAAAAATTAAAATTCAATGCCTTGGTGACAACTTATGAATTCATTCTTAAGGATCGTAAAGAACTAGGAAATATTAAATGGCAATATTTGGCAGTTGATGAAGCGCATCGATTGAAAAACAGCGAATCACAACTCCATGAAGTATTGTCTACTTTTCATACATCTAATCGACTTTTAATAACAGGCACACCATTGCAGAATTCAGTTAAAGAATTATGTGCATTGGTTAATTTTCTTATGCCTAATTTTTTAATCGCTTCTGACATTGACATTGATGCACCTGATGAGGAACAGGAAATAAAAATTCGTGAACTTCATAAAAGTCTTGAACCCCATATGCTTAGGCGACTAAAGAAAGATGTAGAAAAATCACTTCCACAAAAGACTGAAAGAATACTTAGAGTTGGTCTCTCACCATTACAAACGCATTATTATAAAAATATTCTTACCAAAAATTTTAATGTACTTAATGAAGGTGTTACCGGCTCTTCACAAATGAGTTTATTAAATATTGCTATTGAATTGAAAAAAGCTAGTAATCATCCATTCTTATTTCCTAATGCTGAATCTCCAACCAATACTAGAGAAGATCAACTACGAGGTTTAATCATGAGTAGTGGGAAAATGGTGTTACTAGACAAATTGCTCACCAGATTAAAGGAATCTAATCATCGTGTTCTTATATTTTCTCAGATGGTCCGTTTGTTAGATATCTTGACAGATTATTTGAGGTTACGTGGATATCAACATCAACGTTTAGATGGCGGCGTTCCTTCTGAAGCTCGCAAAAAAGCAATTGAACATTTTAATGCAACAGATTCAGCGGATTTTGTCTTTCTTTTATCAACTAGAGCTGGAGGATTAGGTATTAATCTCAATACAGCCGATACAGTAATCATATTTGACTCAGATTGGAACCCACAAAATGATCTCCAAGCAATGGCAAGAGCACATCGAATTGGTCAAAAAAATCATGTAAATGTTTATCGATTTGTGACAAAAGATACTATGGAAGAAAGCATCCTTGAACGTGCAAAGCGTAAGATGGTTTTGGAGTATTGTATTATCAAACAAATGGACACGTCTGGTAAAAGCATTTTGCAGAGAAATACCAAGACTGCCACTAAAGCATCAGACAATTTTAGTCGTGAAGAATTATCGGCAATATTAAAATTTGGTGCTCAAAATATGTTCAAAGAAAGTGATAACACTAAAAAGCTTGATGATATAGATCTTGATGACATACTTGCGCGTGCTGAAACTCATGACACTATTGGGGATCAGGGTAGTAGTAGCTTTGGTGGCGAAGAGTTCCTAAAACAATTTCAAGTTGCAGATTTTGGTGGTGGGGATTTAAGCTGGGATGAAATAATTCCAAAAGACGAAATATATAAACTTTCATCAAGTCAGCAATCTTCTATTTCAATTGAAGAAGAAGAAGAGCAATATAAATTGGGAATGAAACGAAGGAGTGATAATAGTAATAACAATAATATAAAATCTGAATCTGAATCTGAAAGTGATTATTCAAATAACTCGAGGAAAAAGGCTGGTTCAAATCATAAAAAAAAACCTGCTCATAAGAATGACGGATCAAAGAAGCAAAAAACCAAGCGTCAAAAACTCGGTGATTCAGATACAAGCGCAAGTTCAAGTTTTGTTTCTGATGATTACCTTGGTTCAGAATGTAGTGATAAACATCCAAAAACAACTAAAAAAACTAACAACAAAAAAGGTAATGATGCACTTAAATTTACAAATTTTTGGAATAAACTTTTTTTTTTGAAAAGTCAAGTTGTTTAACAATTTTTTTCTAGGTGCAAATGATGCAGAAAAATCAAGATCACAATCAGATGTTGATGAATCTGACAGTAACCAATCTTCCATAAAACGTGTCTCGTCCAGTTCAGGCAAGGAGTTAAGTCTAAAAGAAATTAGAGCACTAATTAGAGCAGTAATGAAATTTGGTGATATAAATCAACGTTATGATGACATAGTTGCAGATGCCAAATTGACAGGAAAAAGTAAAGAAAATTTGATAAGGATATATAACGAGCTATTTGATACTTGTGAATCTGCAATAAGATCTCACGAAGATTTGAATGACTCGCATTCAAACTCTCGTGGGAGAGCGATCATGACTTCTTATAGAGGAATTGAGAAAATTAATGCTGGCTCGTTTATACAAAGAATTATTGACCTCAGAGCAGTTAACAGTCTTGAAGCAATAAATGACCCATCACGCTTTACAATCAGTTTTTCCCCAAAGCCTGTAGGTAGTTGGTTCACAGAATGGGGTCAAGAGGAAGATTCCTTACTTATCTCAGGAATATATAAACATGGATTTGGAAACTGGCGTGCTGTTCGTGAAGATTCAGATTTAGGCCTTAGAGAAAAGCTATCCGTTGATGAGGATGATGCTTCTCTACGAACCTCCAATATAGCAAAGGTAGTTCGCAGAGCGGAATATTTACTGAAGGTGATTAGAGAATGGGTTGACGATAATGGACATGAGGAGAGGGTAATTATTAAGTTTTATTTACAAATTTAAATTTTTTCAACAAAAAAAAAGTTGTTAACGTTTGATTTGTTAAAAACTACATCAGACTCGTAAATTTAAGACTCAAAATGACATTAAAGGTAAAAAGGTAGTAACCAAGTCTTCGACTGAGGATGAACCCAATGAAGAGTCAATAAACCGTATATGCAAAGAACTGTTGCGTCCAGTTAAAGATAGTCTCCAATGGCTAAAAAAAGTAATTATTCAAAAAAAAAAAAAGCCTTTTGTGGAGGAAAAGATTTATTTATTTATTTTACAAACTCGGAAAATATTTATTTTTATAAAATATAGGAATCAATAAAATATGAGGGAAAAGAAAAGGCCAGATTGATTAAAGAGCACATGAAAAAAATCGGATCTAGAATTGAAGGAATCCTTTTTGAAAGGTCTGTCGGGGAACGAGAAGAGTGCAAACATAATCTATGGAGATTTGTTACTTATTTTTGGCCACGTGAAGTTGATGCAGATAAATTGATTGTTTTATATCACAAACTTATTGCTGCTGAATCAGAAAAGAATTAGGTCGTGGATAATTTTGATTGATGATGATCAAGTTGAGGAATTAAAAAAACATTATAGATTTTTTTTGCGGTTTAATTAACCCCCATCCATCATTTTTTATAAAACAAAAAAATTCTACTGTAATTTTTATTTATTTTAAAAACATTTGGATTAGGATAATATTTGTTGTATGTTTTGATCAAACATATACCGAAACTAATTGTAAATAGATTTTTTAAAATCTCTTGACTTCTTTTTTTTTTTAAATTTTATGTTGTAATTATAAATTGACAAAAAAGCTTTTAAAATTAAAAATTCTTTTATTTATTATAAATTCTCTTTGTTCGCATGCCTCAAATTCGGCTTATTAGGTAATGAATGGGAGGGATCATTTTAATTTATGCATAATTATTATTATTAAAATTAAAATGTCAACTCGTGAAAGAATTAGAGGCATTGTTTCTATATTTCAAGAAGTGACTGGTTCAGATGAAGACGAATTGCCCTTTGAACTGGGTAAATACTTTGCCGTTGTTGTTGTTTGTCATTATTAGTAGAAGAAGCTGTCCTTTAAACTGGGTAAATACTTGCCATTGTCATTATTAGTAGAAGCTACTTTTGAACTGGGTGAACACTTTGTTGTTACCGTTGTTGAGGTTATGTGTAACAATGAACAGGAAACAGGATCAGAACACCTCTAATGTCAGTGCACAATACTAATTTAATTTGCTGGTTTTTTCCGGCAATTTTTATTAATTTCAAAGAATTTTGTGCACTGACCGGTATGTATTAAATTGTGGTCTATTTCGTAGTTGTAGATTTGTGTTTGTATATATTAATATGTTTTATATGCCATTTGTAAAATATATGTGATTCTATGATTTTTTTACATGACAAAAAAAATAACCTAATACCCATTTCGTTGGATCACGTTATTTGAATTTTAATATAACGAAAATTTTTTTCAAAATATTATGGGAATTTAATAGTATGACCTAAAGCTATGACAAATGGTTTGATTAAAGGTGAACAGCTTAAAGCAATCAGGTATGACAATCAAATATCTTTAATGGAGGGATTGATTACCTATGATGATTTAAAAAGCAGGCAAAGGTTAACTTGCTACTATATACAAAGCTACTTGGATAAATTTATAACTACTTGTGGCAAAAAATAGAATTGTGACATTAAAGAAATGCTAATGAAGTGAAAAAGGAACAAATTGCTCCTTGTGTTTTTAAAATAAATGATATTTCAGATAAGAAAAATTTATTTAAGAGATTTACCAGGAATAACAAAAATTATAACTAATAAAAGAACATATATTAATACAAACCTGTGAAGAGCCTACAAAAAACAAAATAAATAATAAATTAGGATACACAGTCCCATCTTAAGTTAGCCATTGGCACTCTGTACTGCTTTTGGAGAAGTAATATCCTTCTGACAAATGTGTGAATATTACTATAAAGGTATTCTATGTCAATATGGGAAAATGGTAAGGCTTTAATACCTGGGGAATCCTTGGATCATTAACAACTTTCCAAACTTTAAAATCAACCCATGGTTGTTTTTCAATATAGTTTTTAATCAGGCCAAAACTACCATCACATTTGAATTTTGTACATTCATGAATCATAAAATTTAGTTTAATACTTTCATAATAACCACAAGTTACTAGAAATAAATAAAACCAGATAGTTACTGTATATTTATTTTTATTTTGTCTACCAGCATTATGGTAATCTTCAGATACTTCTTGCCTTTATTTTTTAATTCCATTAAAGTTAATATATATTAAATGTCATTAGAACCTTTCCTACCAGTTCATTTTCATCAAGAACATAGTTGATCTGCTATTGTGCTGCTTCATTTTGAATGCTAAATAGATGGACTTCATAAGGACTAAGATAATAAATTTTACTTATCCATTGATCAGAATGTGGTACATGGACATTTCTGGCTCAGTCATAGCAATAGCATCAACACTGCAATGCTGTATCTTGTTGAATAATTTTGATCAACAGCTTTTCTTTACAATTTAATGTTTTTGTTGTAATGATTTCACTCTAACTTGGCTTTGACCAGATGCTTTTTGTATTTTTTAGTGAACTTTATATTATAAGCCATTGCAAAGGTATTGACAAGTATCATATAAATCTGTTCTTGGGCTCATAATTTGGATCTGAGGAGTTAATTTATGTCATAATTTACAAAAGACATTGTACTTTAATGATTTAAACATTCTACTTTCTAGGCCACCAAGGAACTCTCAATGGACAGGTTTATAGCTGGACAATTGGGTTAATTGATTGACATTTATTTCGAGACCATGGACCTCAGCATAATTTTCAAGAAAGTTATTCACAGCTGCAGCTAGAGGCCTGCACGGGTTATCATAATTGAATGATTACCCAACCCGAACCTGTATACGTGGGGCATTTGAAAAGTTTTGTCACTGGCCCTGTAAAATGACAATCTTATGTGTAACTTTGTACAGATTTTTTTTAAATGAAAATAGTCGTTTTTGTCTATTAAATAAAAAAAAAATTATTAAATTTTGTTCATTAATTATAAAGCTATTGACATTTAAAAATTTGCTAAAAAAACAAATGGAAAATTTTAATCGTGAACATCAACGTTACTACATTTTTGTAAGCTGGAAAAATGGTAAGAGTGCAAATCAAATTCATATGGAATTGCAGATTGCTGAAGGACTTAAAGCACTAAGTATTTGTAGTATTTATCGCTGGATTGAATCATTTGAAAGTGGTGATGAAAACATTAAAGATGGTTCATGTTCTGGACGCCCAAAAGAAATTGTCACCCCAAAAAATGTTGCAGAAATTGAAGAACTTATTGTTGAAGACCCACATATAT